TTTATGAAATATATCTACATATTTAGCATTTTTTGGTTCCTCAATTTAGCACATTTCCATGGTTTTAGCGACCTAATTCTGCGGTTTTCTTAAGCTTGTTTTCCAGAGAGCCGCCGAGTACGCGGAAGAGATCAGCGCCAACCGGACGGCGGCCGCCGGAAAGGAAAACGGACGGGCGGTGCCGAAACTGTTATTACGGATCAACGGGTAGTCGATCTTTCAGTTGATGATCAATGCTGTTTAGGCCTCAATCGTTGAAGATGTGGCTTTATGTCAACACCCCACCACAGACACAACTCGGAGGCGGAAGTCCGGACAGCGCCAACGAGCAGGGAGACTAGAAAATGGTATGAACGTTAAAAACAATCGGGTTTGATGCTTTTTAGTGATGAAGCCGACGCGGGTCTCGAAACGAATCCAGCTGATGCAACGCGATTTGCAGGTTTGCTTTGTCGTTTTTCTCTCTTTGGGCGTATTTACTCCTTTCTACGTTCTCTACTCTTTTCCGTAATTTTGCTGCGGTTACCATTCGTCGATAGTATAATTCGTAAAAATCCGTTCCAACATTCCCATCCACCCCGGCACTTCAATAGCTGCATATCGTTATCGGAGTGAGGGCCCTCTTCCCTCCCCCCATCCAATCCTCCTTCTCCTATCCCACTGACGCGTCAACGCTTCAACACTTCGAACCATTTTCAAGATGATTTTACGCTGATTTCCGGCTTTGTCTGATCGCACTGATCGACTCACGCTTAGGTCGTAGGCCGTTCGTCCGTAGGTACCTACCTAGTCTGGGTGTCTCAAAATTTTATCCAGTCTCTTTCTGCGTAAATAGGCGTATACGTAGCGTAGCAACGCGTACGTGATGTAAGCTGACGGTTGATGTTTAGCGCTGAGGGCGAAAAGCCTGTCCTACTGTACCGCGCGGCACTCAAAATCTCACTTTCCCTGGCTCTCTCTCTCTCTCTCCCTCTGTCTCCCTGTAAATTGCGCTTCTGCCCTCAGGCTCGACTCCGCGCGTTGGCGTGAGTGCCTGCTACTGGCCAGCCAACTTTTTAGCGACGTACTACAACTAGCTGCTCGAGGTTTTATGTTTTTTTCGTAAATTTGGGGTCCTGGCACGATCCCCTTAATTTCAAGCAGCCATAGCCATTCACCGAGTCGCTGTGATTGGGGTGATTGGGCGCTGTGACCAAATGTTCCTTTTTTCCCCTATGGATTGATTGATGGCCTGGGGCACATTCCTGGGCCGAGTACCACCCCAGCTGATCAACCCTCCAATAGAATAACAAGAGGTGGTTGGGAAATCACAAAATCTTCTTTTAAAGTGGATAGTCAAGGCACGGCAGCAGATTTTTGAGCTTGGGCAGTGAATGGGGGGGACATATTTCTAAAATCCCGGTTTTTCGCATAGAAGTCGGGCAAGTGCTTAGACACTATTTTTGCTGTTCTGAAACATAAAAACGTTGCAAATTTACGCTAAAAATATAATAATAACGATTTTCGACAAAATAGCTTTTTCACTTTAAGGCTTTTTCAGACATTTTCGACATTTTTCAGAAACGATTAAAAGACGTACGTTACTAGATAGTTCTGGACTTGTTCTAAAAAAAATTACCCCCCCGATACGCAAAGACAAGCGCTGGGATTTTCGACACAAGCGTATCTGTAGAGACACCTTTAAAGGGCTAGAAAAGTCTGCTGTAGCCAGGATTTCACTCAAAGATCTCGGCTAGTACCCCCGGCCTTCAAAACTGATGGTTGAACTTTTCAACTTTTCAACGCCTCTCCCTCTCCATTCCTCACCGTCAATAGGAGCGTGTTGCAGCTGAGCGAGCAGGAAATCCGACCCGTTGAGGGCGAAAAAGTTCGAACCGGGGTGCTGTATGATCATGTTGTGCGAGCAGTCCGATCACTGAACCTCATCTTCGCCAAGGGTTCAAAGCATAAGGGAGCATGACGGTGTCGGGGTGGAATGTTGCGGAATTTAGCGGTTAAGGTAGTGCGCTGTATCCAAAATGGGGCTGAAAATTCGGGCTTGGGGGCCCCTTTTAAAGGACTGAAAAGGCAGGCTATGGATTTTGGGCGCTTTGGCATTATCGGGGGACGATTTTTAGGTCAATCCAGAAATTCCTGGGAAACCATTAATAGTAAATATTATAATAGGTTGTACTAAAATTTAACTATATTTAAAGTGGAAACTCTATCAAAAACTTAAAAATTCCGAAATTTTGATCGAAAGTCGGCCATTGTTTCGAAAAATCGAAATTGTTTATATTCTTTTAAATTGTAACTTTTTGGGTCTAGGAATAGTAAAAAGAAGAAGCTATTACTTGTATTAATTTTAGAAGAATTGGCTTGTAAGGAAAAAAATGGCCTCCCTCGATAATGCACAAGAACCGGAATTTTTGGTTGTCGATTGGGGTCAAATACTTGGTGGTCAGGCGCGTCGCGTATCGCGGTAAAACCCGGTGAGAACCAAAATATCTAAGAAATGCTTTTCCAGTTCCTTTAAAGGGCCGTTGAAGACTAATGAAGAATTTTTATGCAGGTTTGTAAGCTAGACCGAGTTGGCAACCAGCCAGCCATTTGTCAATCAACCGGCTGAACGGGGGGTGAGCACCGGTTTTTTTGTATCGGGGGGTAACCTAGAAAACCAGATTCCGAGATCGTACTCTGCCACCTGACAGCAAAGCATAACCCCCGGTCCTGAGGCAGTTCGGGGGGCTTTTGGCAGAAATATTTGTTTATGCCCATCTCTCTCGCTTTGTCTCTCTATGTCTCGTGTCTCTCCCTCTCTCTCTCTCTGTCTCTCTCTCACCGCCATCAGTTCGAGTTACTCCCTGTGCTTTCCACCTCACAAAGCGGAGTGTAGGTAAAGCCGAAAATGCTTGCGAAATGGGGTAAAGGGCCCTGAGTCATGTGCGCCACAAGGACCCAGGGTCCACCGGTTAGGGCCCATATTACTGGCCACAGCTAAGAGCCTTCACTGGAAACCCTTCCGACCTCCTGAGAGACCGTTACTCATCCAACCCTGCTGACAGCTACCTGCAATTCCTTTCCTCCTGTTGCCACATTCCAAGCTCCCCGCTACCATTTACCGGGGCGTAATCGACTTGCGGAACACGCTTGAAATTCTAGTACTATAAACCGATTTTTGGGCTAATTCTTTGCTGATTTCGGCGGAATTCGGGATTTTTCACTTGCTACCATTCGCACACTACGCAACGCTCCAAAAGACAATAGCAGGGTACACCCGGATTGTCGCGTACGCTTCGAAAAGGAAGCACTCGATTTTTACGATCCATGCCCATCGTGACTTATCTGTATTTTCCGCGTCCTACGTTCTAACACTACGCAAGGCTCCGAAAGTACGAAAGGATTGTAAACCGTATTGTCGCGTACTTCAGCCAACTTAACGTATCGCTCCAAAGTACGATAAGCGTCTATTTCCAGATTGTCGCGTACGCTTCGAAAAGCTCACATTAGGCTGAATTCCGTATTTTGCTCTCCCTACGATTTGAACACTGCGTGACGCTCCGAAAAACCGAACCATCGTAAGCCGTACTGTCGCGTACACCCAGCCACACGACGATGGCCTCGGCCCGTGTCGAACCAACCCAATATGCGCCCCCGCGCGCCTTCTTCCCGACCCTGGCCCTAAAACGAGGCTCAATCGGCTCCCCATCATCCCCCACACAATATCAAACACCGAACGGCCGAAAGTTCAGCAACAACCATCAACAATACCTATCCCAGCTACACGCCAAAAAAGCTGCCCTAATGGCGGCGAGAGAGAGGGAGCGGAAACAAAAAGAGGCCGAACGGCTTGAGGCTGATCGCCTGGATCGGATGCGACAATTGGTCGAGTTCAGAAAGGCTCATACGGTCGATAGGAAGCAGAGGATTGGTGTTGACCCCGAGAGAGAAGGCATGGGTAAGTCTGATCATCGACTGTCTACCAGTCAACTCGTCCAAGTCGAGGTGTGATTTCTGACGGGGAGTTTCGTGTATTTTATCGTCTCTCGAAGGTTTTTTGAAAATCTAACGTTTTTGGTAGCTATGAAATTGTGGTGCTGGGCATTATCGGGGGTGGGTGCTTTGTTCTTAGGAGTTACTTTTGATATCTAAGTGTTTCTAGCTTTTTTACTAGTCCTCTTAACGTAGAAATTTTTACAATTTGTTAAAAAATAGAAATAAGCGCAAAAAAATCCCTGTGTTTATTTAAATTTTAAATTTTTAAGCATTTTTCTGGTTATAGTTTTTTATATAAATATCATTCTGGTTATAGTTTTTTATATAAAAGACCCATTTATCTATTTCTTTTTTGCTTTTGCTAAGCGAAAAAATGATAGGGATGTTAAAAGATTAGAACTCTCGGTTTTTCGACCAAAAATCGCCGATTTTATGAAAATTTAAACTTTAAGATTTTTTAGTCTGTTTTTCCACTCCAAATATAGTTAAATTTTACTAAAAACTCTATTAAAACGCTAAATATGACGTTTTTCGACTTATAGGCATAAAATATCCCCCCGATAATGCGAAAGAATCAAAAATTAACTTTTTTTAATCTTTCTAAATAATTTTTTACTTAAAATCTATAGTAATTTTATGAAAAAGACTATTAAAACTCGGTCCTCTTGATCCACGCCATAATTCCCTTCTCAAGGTCCGAAAAGCCCGCTCCGTTCCGGACTGTGCAAAACCTGCCGGGGCGCCACGCTCGAAAAGCGCGACGGGAGCACGAGCTAGCCGTCCGGGGCTCGAGGCCGAGCTCGAGATGTTCGCCCAGTTGTGCCGACGACCGATTGGGGGTCGTGGCTGTGGAATGGCTCTTGGTCATCTACCATACGCCCATATGTCTCAGAAAGCGCGGCTGATTCGTATGATGGGCACTGGCACTTTGACTACGGTATTTTTGTGAAATTCAGTGTTTTTGGACGAGTTTGAGGAATTTCGAAACTGATTTTGTTGGCTTTTGCCGAATCAAAACCTTTGTCGGCATTTTTTTGTCGAAAATCTATTTCGGCATTAATTTTCGACAAAGAACCGGATTTTAACCTAAAAACGAAGTAACCGCTGCTGCTTTTTCTCTCTCTCCCCTCGCTCTCTCTCTCTCTGCCCTCTCTCTCTCTCTCTCTCTCTCTCTCTCTCTCTCTCGCCCTATTGGTACTGGTATATTAGCGGGGGTCTGATCTTTTTATGTATTTTGGCTTAATTTTTGCTTTTTTCAGAAACCCCGCACAAAACCGCTGCAAGAATTCTACAACGACGACGATGCCGAATTAGAGGGTAGGTTAATTCGGTTCTTTGACATTATCGGGGGGGTTACTATATATGACTCTCAATGACGTAACAATAAATATGTTACAACTGTTTTTAGCAAAATTTAACTAGGTTTAAGCTGGAAAGCTACCTAAAAATGACCATTATGTCGAAAAGTCTATATTTTTTCATTTTTAATAAAATTGTGTAAATTTTTGACGTTGAGTTAATAGTAAGACTATTTACATCGGAAAATTGGATTCCAAAGGTAAAGCTTGTCCCCCCCCCGATACTGTAAAAGCTCCAAAAATTCTCGAAATATCTGTATTACGACATCGTAATGCTTTTTGTTGGGGGGCAAATTGAAAGGTTTCCCGGGGCACGTGTTGCTGCCCTTATCGTCTCGCGCCTGTTTGCCCGCTTTGCATTCCATTTCTATCTCTCTCTCTCTCTCTCCCTCTCTCTCTCGCCATTTCAACAAGTTGTATTCTGCATCACCCGTTTCTAGACCTAGAAAACTATCGTCATTTTTACATACTAAATAAAAAATTTTTGACAGCCAGTGTCAATCTGAAAACCGGAAACACTGATCTATTTCGATGAAACATTACGATGGCGCCGAGGGGTCCGGGAAAGAAATATCGGGGGTGTATGATAGATTTCCAAACCGTCACTTGGTGCTCCTTGGAATATAGTGGCGAGAGCCGAAATTCCTATACTTTCCGTTTCGTATCTTTTGCCGCTTTTGGTGCTTTTGCATTAGCGGGGGGGGGCTAATTTTTCCTATAAGCCCAGAAATGTCTTGTAACGTAATAGTCGATGTTTTAATAGTGTTTTTAGTTCGAAACCCCCTAAATTTCTGGTGGAAAAAATAGCAAAAATTCAGAAATATCCAAAATTGGCAATTTTTTTTCGAAAACCAAAATTTTGGTTTTTGTGATAAAATCTACCGTAATCTTCCATATTCTTCCTCCTAAAATGCGCTAGAATTATTATATTGAATAGCTACAAAAGGTATACAAATATTTGGTATTTCAGCAATGGCCCGCGTGGCCGATCCGGCTGCCCCACGGCCAGAAGGGCCCACGATGACCCCAATTCGAGGAGATGGACTCACTGGATCTGCTACACATGATCTTCCCAAGTAAGTATTGCAAATAGAATCCCCGGAAGTTCTAGTTTAACCGATTATGCCATTAAATTAGAAGTTTACAACAATTTTCCAGATCTGTCGACTCTGCCCTGCACCGACATGGAACAAAATCCCCGAAAGCCGTTGCAGCCGTCGTTCTCGATCAACATGGAAAACCCGGCGAGCAACTGCTATATGGTAATTATTTTAACTAACTAATACAGGTTCTTTTTCATTATAGGGGGGGGGGTGAATTTTCGTTAAACTCCGGAAAAGGCGATTAAGAATTTTAATAGTATTTTAGGAATATATAGCCTTATCTAATCCGAAAAGCCATATTTTTGTAATTTTGAGTAATATTAGTTGTTTTAATAGCGTTTTAGCAAAATTTAATTAGATTTCAAGTGCAAATACGATAAAAAAACTTTGAAAAAATTTTTGTTGGAAGTATTGGTCAAAAATCGATTTTTCGGTATTTTTAATGAAAATGCAAAGTTTTTGCGCGTAGAATAGAGGAAAAATATATTTTAGAAACGTTTTCTCTATTTATCGATTTTTATATATATTTATATATTTATATAATATTGATTTATATATTTAAATTGAATAAATGGAAAACTTGGTTCCCCCAATAATGCCAAAGAACCGCGAAACTTTCAAAAAAAATGATATTTATATTTCGAAACGTAAAAACAATTTATCAAACCATTTCCAGGCAAACTCTACTCGCGAGCCACCAAAATCGCCTGGGTGTTGCTGAACAAGCAGGTGGCCCAAGGAGGTCGAGACGGGGCAAAGGGTCCACTCTGTCGACCTGGCGATCGTGTGGCTCTGGTGTATCCGAATGCTGATCCCCTCCATTTTCTGCCAGCATTCTATGGATGTTTGATGGCTGGCATTGTGCCAGTACCTGTTGAAGTGCCATTGACAAGAAGAGATGCCGGCATACAGCAGCTCGGCTTCTTGCTCGGATCTTGTGGGGTCAAGGTGGGCCTTTTGAAAGGTTTTTTGCGTTACTTTAGAAAGCTCTATACGACTATATTTGTAAAAAAGTAGTGAAAAATTGTACAAAACTTAAAAAACCGTGAAAAATTTGTTACGTGACTCTTAACGGGGGGGTGGGTAATTTTTCCGCCTATTCCCGTCTATTAATTAAATATGTTGCAGTTCCTATGCATTCAATAGATTTTAATTCCTAGAATTTATCCAAAAAAACTAATTTTTCAAAAAATTGAAGTTTTTGGGTTTTTGGCAATTTTTCAGGTACTGGTGTGTTAGCGGGGGGGCTAAGAGCAGCTCTCCGTAATAAGCCTATTGGGAAGGGGAACGAGAGTGGGTGTGGCCTCTCCAACCCCCCCGCTAATGAACTAGCACCATTTTCATGAATTTTGACCAAAAGTCGAACCTTTTAGGTTATTTATCTGCTTTTTTTCTAAGCTATGTAAAATTTCGTACTTTGGCTTGAAGAGAACAAAATGGAAGCTTGTAAAAAGGAACATTTTACAGGTAGCCCTCACCTCGGAAGCGTGCTACAAGGGCCTTCCAAAGGCTTCTTCCCCATCCGGCAGCAATACAGAGGTCGTCGACTTCAAAGGATGGCCCCGGTTGTATTGGCAGACTACTGAGAATTTGGTAAGTAAATATTTAATTTAATAACTGCTTAATTTACGATATTTTGTAATTATTGTATCTTATTGTATTTAGTATTTTAACGTACCTTTTCAGCCGAAACCCCCTCGAGACTGGACTGCCCCACCGCGCGTAGCTGATGAAAGTGTTGCCTACATCGAATATTCACAATGCCGAGAGGGTGCTGTAAAAGGAGTGTGTATTAGCAGACAGGCCATGCTCGCACATTGTCGCGCAATTGCACTGCAGATGGATTATAAAGAAGGTGCGTTTTAGCGGGTTTGGAGTTATTAAGAACTTGAAAATATAATGTTCATGTATCTCACAATTATTCTAACAAATTTGGTTCTTTTCCATTATCGGGGGGGGGCAATTTTTTGATATAAGCGTACTGGTGCGTATTTAAATAATGGTTTATACAAATTCAGCTATATTTACTATCAAAAACGGTGAAATTTCGAAATTTTGGTCGAAAATCGAGATGTTGTTTGTTTTGATAAAATCTGCAAAGTTTTGACGCCTAGAAATAGCTAATAAGCTTAGCAATACCTTGTCTCTCTATATTAGGAAAATCCGATGGTAACAGAAAAAATGGTGCTGGTGCATTAACGGGGGGGGGAGTCAGCGCCGGGAGACGCCCACTCTCCTTGCCTTTCCCAATAGGGATTTTGTCCCCGACATCCCATTCCCCCCGCCCCGCCCCTCGTTAATGAACCACTACCTGAAAAAGTTGGTTCTCCGGTCGCCCCCGATAATGAACAAGCTCCATATCGTAATTGGCAGTATTCTAGCGTCATATTTTCTCTATTTAACCGTTTTTTTCAGGCGAAACTGCAATCTGCGTTCTTGATTGGAAGCGAGAAGTCGGGTTGTGGCACGGTGTGCTTGCCTCGGTATTTTGCGGCCTAAAAGTCGTCTTCGTACCGTATGCCCTCATGAAGGTAGTCTATAATTTTGTAGCATCATTTATTTATTAAATTCAGGTGAACCCAGCCAGCTGGATGGTGCAAGCGACTCGTCTACAGGCCCAAACGGCCCTCGTCAAGTCCCGCGATCTACATTGGGCCCTGTTGGCCGTGCGCGATCATAATGACGTTCAACTCGGCGGGCTGAGAAGTCTTGTTGTGGCTGATGGGGCAAATCCTTGGTCCCTATCGTCTTGTGATCAATTCTTGGCGACGTTTGCCTCGCGGGGGCTCAGACCGGATGCGATGTGCCCGACTGCGGGAAGTTCGGAGACTGGCACCATCTCATTGCGAAGGTAGGGTTTGATTTCGTGAAAAGGAGCTTGTGCATTATCGGGGGTAGGTGTTGTATGAGCTAAAAATTATGTAAAAGCTTTCATTTTTTAAATGCGACATGCTGTCGAAAATCGTTCATTTTTCGTCAAAAATCGATATTCTTATTCAAAATTTGTGAATTTTGGCGTTTCGAAATAATGAAAAATACCTGTCTTAAAACACCTTTCTTTTTGTATTTAAAAAATGGACATAAAAAGCCCCCCCCCCCAATAATGCCAAAGGTCCCTTTTCAAAACGTACTGAAACTGTTTTTAATCTTGTTTTCGTGAAAATTCCGTTTCAACACCCCATAAATAATTTTTTTGAAGGAATCTAACGAAAACTTACTCTGATATTTTACATAGAAATCATGTTTCTTTATTGCAGAAGACCAGCGGCGAATCAGCCAGGCACTCAAGCCGGCCGCGGCGTCCTCTCGATGTCGGCCCTATCGCATGGAGTTGTCAGGGTTGAGCAGGAGAACGCGCTCAACTCGTTGACACTGCAGGTACAATACCTCACACCGAAATCTATCTCATTCTCCTATTTTTAGGACGCGGGCCACGTGATCCCGGGCGGTTCGGTGGTTGTCGTCAAGCAGTCTGGATCTCCGCGACTTTGCCGAAGTGATGAGGTGGGATTTGATTCGAAAAGTTATTTTTCTTGATTCAAAATTTTTGCTACAACTTATAATATTCAAAATTAAACGAAAAAGCGTATTTTCAGGTGGGCGAGATTTGCATCTGCGCCCATTCTGCCGGCAGCGCCTACTGGGGTCTAGAAGGGATGTCGGCCGCCACATTCCGAGTGAGTACTATGTACGCTAACGTCTATCCATCACGAAAAAAAGATAACGTATCATCTTTCATCTTTACTTTTATTACATAACGAAATTTTTTGATTAGGTGGAACCGCTGGCTGCTGATGATCGACCCCTCGGTCCATTACACTACGTCCGCACCGGGTTGATTGGCTTTTTGGCACCTGTAAGTTTTTGTACGCTTTTTTTTGAAGCTGATCCTTGATTACAGAACGGGCTGATCTTTGTGGTGGGCAAGAAGGCATCGCAACTCTTCGTTTCTGGACGACAACATTCCGCTGATGACATTATTGCCACCGTGCTTGCCGTCGAACCGATGCGTTTTGTGTACAGGTTCGTATTAAAAAAAGTAAAATAGCTTTTATATGAAAAAGTATCAATTTTTACTATTCCTAGACGCAAAAAATGCTACAAATTAAAATTTGAAAATTTTCAGCTAATTTTTCCACTAAAAATCTTGCTGAATTTTTTAAAAACACTATGAAAAACTTACTACCACATTCTAGGCCTTCTAGGAAAAAAGTTAGGTTCCCCCGATAATGCCAAAGCGCAATAACAAAAAATTTCGATTTTTTGGATGTAGGATGGATGTCTCCTTTGTCTTTAGCGATTTTTACGATGATTTTCCAGAGGCCGCATCGCCGTCTTTTCCGTGTCTGTACTACGAGACGAGCGAATCGTTGTGGTGTGTGAGCAGAAGCCACATACCACGGAAGATGACGCTTTTCAATGGATGGGCCGAGTGATGCAGGCTGTCGAGTCGATCCACCACGTTTCCATCTACTGTCTAGCCCTCGTCGTGCCCAACCAATTGCCAAAGGTACACCCAAAGTCCTTACCATGATAAAGTTGAGGTCATACAAACTTTAATTCCTCTTTCAGACTCCTCTGGGTGGTATCCACGTGGCAGAGACTCGACAACGTTTCTTGAGCGGTGATCTACATCCGGCTACGCTTTTGATGTGTCCCCATAATTGTGTTCTGAATCTGCCCAAGCCACGGTAGGCTTTATTTTCTGGTTCTTTTGCATTATCGGGGGGGCAAATATGTGAAATATATAGCATATAGCAGTGTAAAATGCAAACTTTTGAAAGCTTTTAAAATCTAAATTTTGCTCGAAATTTTTTTAGTTTTTGAATGACATTTGCCCCCCCCCCCGATAATGCTCAAGCACCTATTTACCTTTTTTATCGTATTTAAACTATGAATTTTATAATAGGACCTATTTTCAGTGAACGACAATCTGACGTTGGCCCGGCTGCAATGTTTGTCGGAAACATCGTGCAGGGCGTTCGGATGGCAGAAGCTGAGGGCCGATCACTTGGACCGGAAGATGTGGTAGGCTTTAAAGTAATTCCTTTTGTAGTAATTATCATGTGTACCTTAGTAAATAAAGTAAAAATTCATTATCAATAAACTTACATTGTTTTAGTACGTACCACTTGCCGAAATTCTTCGACAGCGTGCAACCCACACCCCTGATCACGTCATCTTCAGCCTCGTCACGGCCAAGGTAGGGGTTCTCGATTTTTTTGGCACTTTTTGGCACTTATTTTTTATTTATTATTTATGGTATAAATCTTATATTATATAAAATAATTGATAAACTTCTTAATGATGACGTTCTTTAGACGATCGATAACCCAGAAACGTTGACGTGCGGGATGTTGCTAAAAAAAGCGGAGCGAATAGCAAGCTTACTGACCGACAAGGCTCGTCTCAACCCGGGTGACCACGTCTCCGTCGTGTTACCGCCCGGTCTTGATCTGATCGTCGCCTTCTTTGGGTGTCTTTTGTCAGGTATGTCTTGTTTTCAGTCCGTTGTTAATAGTATTTTCCCGTTAATATTCTAGCATTTTCTCAACCTCTTGCAGTAGCAAGAAATTTCCTAATTTCTAAGCTTAACTTGGATGAAGAAATGAACTTTATGTGTTAGGCATGGTCCCCGTATGCGTTCGTCCCCCGCCTTCCGGCCAACTAGCTGAAGCCGTTCCCACCGTCCGAGCCATCGTCGATGTCAGCCGATCTGTCGCCGTACTTTCCAGCCAGAACATCACAAAGATGCTCAAGGTTTGAACAGGATTTTGGGGTGCTTTGGCACTATCGGGGGGGGGCGACGAGTTGATCAACGGAGAAAAATTTTCCATTTTGAAGTTTTAGGGTCCGATTATTCTGATGTAAATAGCTGAAGTGCTTTTCAACAATTTTTTACTGTTTCGAAACGTAAATTATTTACAAATTTTAATCAAAAAACATCCAAAAATATCGATTTTTACCAAAAATTACAAAATTTGGCCAATTTTAAAAATCTTTTACATTTTTTAGAGGTTTTCGGTTGGTTTTGCATTTTTTTTTCTATTGATAGTCTTGTATTTTCCAACAAGATCTTGCAAAAAGTTGTAACAAAACAACGAAACCATCGATTTTTCAAAATTTAAAAAATTACGAGCGTTTTTAGATGGTTTTCCACCTGGATATATTTGAATTTGTTCAAAAACAGTACTAAATTCTTACCATTACGTTACTAGGCATTTCTGAACTTGTAGGAAAAATTACCCCCCCCCCGATAATGCCAAAGAACCAATTTGATTGTAATAAGATTTTAATACAAGAAAATAATTTATTGTATTTGGTCTCGATTCGCCCATAATGCGAAAGAACGCGTTTTTCTTTTACCTTTTTATTTTTAAACTTTTTCAGAGCAAAGAAGCGTCGCATCGCGTGGATGCGAAGGCGTGGCCACTGATGTTGGATGTTGAAGATGCCCCCTCATCCTCAAAACGAAAAGGGACACTGGAGAGAGAGGGATTGGAGAATCACCTTCATCCCAACTCACCGGCCTATCACGATTTTGCCGTCTCGACCACGGGCCAGCTAACCGGAGTCACGATCAGTCAACAATCCGCTGCCGCTCTATGCAAAAGCCTGAAAATCGCCTGCGAGCTGTATCAGTCACGGCACGTGTCCGTTTGTCTTGATCCGTATTCGGGTCTAGGTCTCGCGTTATGGATCCTTTCCAGCGTCTATTCAGGTGGGAATTTATAGTAATTATCGAAAAAGGTCATCCATATTACTGGAGCTTTTGCAGTATCGGGGGGCGGCAAAAATGTCCACTATCATCCGATTTTTCTAAATATATTAAAATACTTTGACGGTTTTTACTATTATTAAACGTTATAGAACCCTCACAATTTTCTGCAAAAAAATCCAAAAATTCCGAAAAAATGGTAAAAATTTGCATTTTCGGGGACCTTTTCCTTAGGAGCCACTTTTTCTAGATAATAGGGGAGCTGTTTCTAAATTTTTTTTTGCTATTTCTAGACGCAAAAACTTACAAATTTTGGTTAAAAATACCAAAAATATCGATTTTCGACAAAAATATTGAAATTTTTGCTGGGTTTTGAAAGGGTTTTTCCACTCGAAGTCAAGTTAAGTTTCCGAAAAACACTGTTAGAAAATTGCTATCATGTTGTTAGTCCTTTCTAACATTGTATGAAATCCGCCCCCTCCCCATAATGCAAAAGCACCAAAAATTTTAAATTTTAGATTTTAAGTCTAATTTTAAATTGAAATGTATTAACAAAGTGGTGTAAATAGATCCCGAAAATCTAACCGATTTTCAGGCCATCACACGACACTTGTACCACCAGCTGAAGTGGAAGCCACTCCATCGCTATGGCTCCAAACCGTGTCCAACAACAAGATGCGTGACACCTTCACCTCGCACACCGTCGTCGAGATTTGCGTCAAAGAGTTGGCCCCGCAAATTGCGCAATTGAAGGAGAAGGGCCTCAATCTTGCTTCGTGGGTTTTAATTCTGGAACTTTTGGGGATTTTTTGGGGGGGGATTTCCATAAAATTCTTCGAAATCTTTCTGGCGTTTTGATTCTCGGGGAGCACCAACTTTTTCCCTAGGATTTAATTTTGCTAACGAAGCGGTTTTAAAATTATTTTGTTTATTCCGAAATGCAAAAACTTTAGAAAATGGTATTAAAGAGTATAAAAATAGCGATATTTCGGCCAAAATTTCGCCTGGGAATTTTTTGAAGTATTTCGATAGTCTCTTTAGCAAGATCTAACTAGCGATTTTCTAGGTAATTTTTCGAGACAAAATTTCACAGTTTTTACGTTTAAAAATAGTCACAAAACTTAGAAAACTGGCTCTTAACGAATACTCTTGCCCCCACCACCTCCCCCCCCCCGATAATGCGAAAGCTCCTAAATTAGGTTTTCTCTTTTTCTCTAAATTCCTAATTCTCGAAAAAGTTATTTGATGAACAATAAAAGACTAAAAAAATACACCAATTCCAGGGTTCGTACATGCGTGATCGTGGCCGAAGAGCGTCCCCGTGTTCCACTACTATCCGCTTTTACAACGCTATTCGGGTCTGTTGGCCTATCTTCTCGATCTGTCTCCACTTCATTCGGTTGTCGCGTATGTCCAGCGATATGTATGCAAGGAGCCAGTGGCCCTGACCCGGCACAGGTTCGTTCTTCGCCTCAAAACGTTTGAAGTGGCAACGAAGTGCGAAAAATTGGCTTACTGCCCGGAAACCAGAGCCCTGTACGTCGATGGCCTCTGTAAGCCCAGGGGGCTGAAGCTCGCAAATTTGAAATTTTTTGTGGTTTTTTTTGGTAGTGTCTGGGCCAATTTTGATGACTAAGACATCAAAAGTATTTAAAATTGGGTCAGGAGTTCAGAAATGAGTTCAGAATCTGCCAATTATAGTGTTTTCACAAGAAAATCTGAGCTATTTTTCCAGATCTGGGTCGATGGGAGAGCGTTGCGTCACGATCGCGTATCCGTCGTCGGCAAGGGCGCTCCACATTCTATTGCGCTCGTCGAGACAGGAAAGGTAAGGAAATACCGACATTGCAACAATAAGTAGTAAATAATCATCAATCAATAGTAAGTGATAGTAACGAGTAATAAAACGAGGGTAAAAAAGTAAAGTAAAGCAATTTAGGAAACTAGAAAACTAGCAACAGCTCGACTAGAGAAAAGCAAAATGAAGTTATTGAAGCTAGCAATACCTATTATTATTATTATTATTATTATAGCTTCTGCCCGGTGTCCGTGTGGCCATTGCGAATCCGGAAACCCGTGGTCTATGCGCAGATTCTCACCTCGGGGAGATCTGGGTGGCGGGCCCTCATTGTGCTGATGGAACGATTGAGCGTCAGTCTCATAATGATATGTTCGAGGCACGACTCACTACCGGCGACACGAAAACAAGGTTCGTTAAAGAAACATTCAATCCCCAGCTTTTGATGAAAAAGCAAAAGGTTTTGTCACTGTCGGGGATCGAACCCGGGTCTTGAGCGCGAACACAAATCCAATGAGCCAACAGGCCGATCGGGTCGGGTCAGCGCAGTCCCTCTTTCCCCCCTCCCCAATGGGGCCACATCCACGCTTTAGCAAACGGACCCTGCTATAACGTAGACCAATTTTATAAAAGAGGTGATTGTTTCTGTAGATATCGATTAGATTTATAAATATTGTGTTTTTTCTAGATGGGCCCGAACTGGGTACCTGGGTCTCGTGCGGCAGACGGATGCGGTGACGGAAAGCGGTGGCCTTCACGAAGCCGTGTTCGTTGTGGGACCCTTGGATGAAGCATTGACACTACGAGGGATGCGCTATCATCCGGCTGACATCGAATACACCCTCAATCGGGCACATCGGCTTCTAACGGAAAGGTATGCTTCGAAAGGCACCCCCCAGTCGTCGAAATCCAACTTTTGTATCTCGGCACCTTGTTTGTCTACAGCACCGTAAAGTATACTAAAATGTTCGTCTTGGTCTTGTGAGCATTTTGTTATACTATACAGCCCTGTAAGACAACGGGGAGTCGAGATACTGTAGAAAAGGTATGCCGTCTAGCACTGTCGACGTGGAAAGCACGCTTAATTTCAACTTCCGATTTTACTAAATAAGAACAAATTTAATTTTTAAATTCTGAAGCAATTTTATGACCACTTTTTAGCGCGGTTTTCACGTGGAATCACCTACTTGTTGCTGTGGTTGAAAGTACGGGCGGTGACGATTCCCTCGACGTCATCCCAGCGGCCACTTGTTCCGTTCTCGAGGAGCACCATCTCATTCTTGGGGTAACAATAGATATATTTAAATAAGGGAAATGGAACACAGAAAATTGCTTTTTTTCCTAGAGGCTCTACTATTAATAAAGGAACTGTTTCTAAGCTGTTTCTTACTAAGCGGAAAAATTGCGAAAATTTTTATTAAAAAATACAAGAAAGTTGTTGATATTCCGAGCAAAATTTCGATATTTTAGAGTTTTGGATAGTTTTGCACTTCAAATATGGGTAAATTTTGCTGAAAACACTATTAACACGCTTACTATTATGCAAATATGAGCTTTAAAAAAAGAACAATTCGCCCCCCGTTAACAGTACAGTACCGCAATTTTAAAAGATCTTTTTCAGGTGGTGGTCATCGTCGACCCGAACACGATCCCGACAAATTGCCGCGGGGAGAAGCAGCGATATTTGCTGCGCGATCAGTTCCTCCAGGACAAACTCGACCCAATCTACGTCGCTTACAATATGTGATTATAGAACCAATTTCCACTTTTTAAACTGTTTAAAAATCCTCCAAAAATAGATCCCCCGATCGATACGGATACCTCTCTTTCCAAAGCATTGCCTCCTACTCTATTTTCTCCGTTTTAATTGCTAGTCATCAGCCTCATTTTTGTCATTTTTCATTTTTTTCTGGGGTGCTTTTGCATTATTGGGGGAGGGGGGCTTGGTCTTTAGCATCTAATTTTGCTAATAAAAAGAAGGGATGCAACCATCTTTGGCTTTTTTTCGATTCCGAACCGTCGAAAGTTTCGAAATTTGTACAAAAACTTACCGAACATATCGATTTTCGACCAGACATGACCGATTTTCGACAAAAACCTCAATTTTTTGCGTTTTTCGATAGTTTTTCGACTTACAATAGACTAAATTTTGTTAAAAAACCACGAGTATTTAATTAGTATGCATTTCTGGACCTATTGGACCCCCCCGCTAATGCCAAAGCATCATTTTTCCTGTTCGGTCACAGATCCTATCTATCCCATACGTCTATAGGTGCCTTGCCATTTCAGAGCTTTCGCTAATCCACGAGACCCTCTTTTCCTTCTTTTTGCTTCATTTTTCTCTTGCTCCTTTCGAGGGCCACCCTCATGCTCATCGGAGACCTAAGAATCAATTGTTTTTTTCTCTTATACCCTCTTTTGAAAACGGGTTCTGATCATTGCTTTGTACTCTTCGTCCTTTTCTGGGTTTTGCACATAAAGCTATTTTTATGGCGAATGTCAATGCCAAATGCACGCTAAGAGAGGTACTAGACTTTTAGCGGGGGGCGACGCCGTTTTTATTCTCCCGCCTGCATCATGTATTTTATCATTTTTAACAGTTTTTGATTGCTAGAAAGTTACAAATTTTTAAAAAAACGAAATTTTTACCTTCTTGACAAAAAAGTCAAACATTTTCGGAAATTTTATTACATTTTACAGGCTTTTTTTATCTAAAAACTATGCAAAATACTGTAAAAATGATTTGTATTGCGTGCATAACGTATTTTTGGTTTTTCGTTTTTATTTTTGTCGTCGTATATAAAAATTCTTTATTCGAATAGCGCAAGTGGGTATAGTAGGGGTTTGTCGAAGACGATGGTGAGATTCGAGGATTCGAGCCGTGATAGGGATGCCGATGTGGTCGTTCTGAAATCGGCGTGTTGAATAACTACAGGGTGCGTCAAAAAAAAAAAAGCCAAGTTTGCACCAAAATATCTCGCTTATCCTTGAGAATCGAAGGTACGTTACCATGCCAGAATGCTTAAATATGCTGGGTATGAAGATTTAACACAACTTGATTTTTTCGATTTTTGGCGACGTACCCATACAAATGACACCCGAAAACTGTGCGTTCCGGCAAAACTTCGTTTGCATTTTTTAGGATTGCTGGTGGTCGAACACTTCCAATTTTTACAGTGTAGGTACCTAAGGACTGCCCCTACGCACATCCGGAATTTTGGAATTTTCGAAGGTCTGGTTGGCAAGTTATAGCATGCTCCCAAATTAAATATGGAGAAATTTCGTAAATTTCGGATATTACAAAAACCTATGGTGAAAACCTCAAAACAGGCTGTTTTAGCATCTCTATAGGCTCGATACAATCCCACAAAAATATCAAAGAATTTTTTCAGATCCGCGAATTTTTGAGTTTTTCGACGACCCCCTGGTCATGGATTCTTTCGAGGTCTCGAAACTGAACTTTGGAAAAATATTTCTAAAATTGCAGATAGAATTTCGGTGTTTGCTTTGCTTGGTTGTGTAGGACTGGGGTCCATCTACCATGTACACAATTTCTAGCTACCGTATCCCTTTGGAAGGTTGCCTTTTAGCGCCTCCAAAACGGTTGGTTCGTGCTATTTCGCAGATCTTCGTGCCAATCTATAAAATTCATTTGCGCGGCTAGAATTATTGTCATAATTTTATTTAATACTACTTAATGCGCGCGTTCTAAAATTATATTTAGAAATTTATTGGGCCATCCAATCTCTCAAAAGAAATTCATGAAAAGTGCAAATATACCCGAATTCGAGGCGACGTAAAAAAATTCTCGAAGCTCTAGTAGCCTCGACTTTTCTGGCATAGACCAAGCTTGGGTAGTCAACCAGAACCCGTGCAAATACAGAACCTTTTCATGGCAAACGAATTTAGAAGAGTTCCCCAAAGTCGGCTTTTCAAAAACGTGATTTTCGGGTTTTTAAATCAAAATTAACCATTAAATTCAGCCAGATCATTCCAGTATTCTGCTTTTATACACTGTTCGATGCGTACGTTAATTGTATCCACCAAACCCCGGGGTCTTTTTCATTTTCAAAAATTCGATTTTCGGGGCAGGGTGTCGGGTCCAAAATCGGGCCCCGGGGAGGGTTTTCTTCTTTCCTTCATAACTTTGTCATTTGCCACAGGAATCAAGTAATTTTTTGTAGGTGCTCTTACAATCGCCCAGACAACAGTCTAGAATAGAAAAATCGGCATTTTATGGCATTTTGTCTTGGCATGCTAAAACGCGCCCAGGCGGGTTACTGTAGAAAACAGAAAATCGCCGTTTTCTCGCTCTTTTCACCATCGAAACGTTTCGATCTTTCGGGAAAACAAATAATAGTAGTTTTTGGTCCGATGCATCAAAATATTTAGACATTTCCGTGGCTAAATTCAAAAATAAGTTTTTTGCATATTTTAAGAAGGTGTATGGCTGGAACTCCACGATCTTTGGCCAATAGGTGACCCTTACTGATGTTTACCAATGATAAAATTTTAAGCGAAATCGCAGCTTACAATAAAAAGAAAAACGCGAAAAACGAAAACTACAGTATCCCTCTGGGGCACGTTTTAGCAAGCAATATTAAATTACCATAGAATCAGGTAAAATTTGGTGTTGTGCTAAAGATTACCATTCGGAGACACCATCTGCAAAAAATCAGCCATGGGCAGCGCATTTGAAGCGAGTTGCGAATTAAAAAGTAAAAATAAGCTAAATAGGGAAATTTGTTTTGCCTTTAAAAAAAGAACTAAACCTTCAAAAATTCTAAGACTTTGCTATTATTTTTTTACAAATGTCAACTATTTATAGGCCAAAAATCAGAATTTGCCTACCACCCGTTCAAGAACGCACAATTTTCGGTCGTAACCAGCGTCAATAGTACAGTTGCGTACTCAAAAATCGAAAAAATCAAGTTGTATTAAATCTTCATACCCAGCATATTTAAGCATTCTGGCATGGTAACGTACCTTCGATTCTCAAAGATAAGCGAGATATTTTGGTGCAAACTTGGCTTTTTTTTTTTTTGACGCACCCTGTATACGTCAGGCGGAAAAACTATCTAAATGATTCGAAACTGAGTTTTTGCTCCATTTTTCGTCGAAAATCTATGTTTTTACATTAACAACTTTTGTATCGCGGCTCCCTGTTGTCTACAGTAAAGGATAGAAAAATGTTCGTCTTGTTCTGGCGAGTGTTTTGGGATACTTTAAAACCCTGGAGGACAACGGGTAGCCGATATCCAGTAGCAAAGGGTATCTTTCGTTGAGCAGTTTCTACTCCAACGCTAAATTACAATTGCAACAAATGCATTAATCCCCGGTACAATTCGGATAAGCGGGGGGGGGAAATTTTAGGCGGGGGGGAAACCAACTTTTTTTTGTCGGCCATGGTGGGGATAGTAATCAAATATAAAGTGTTTTCACATTGTTCTTAGCAAAATTTAAGCCTATTTGAATCGGAAAAACTTTTTAAAAAGTTAGAAAAACGCTTGAAAAAGTCGAAAATTTGGTCATTTTTGGGCCGAAATTATTGATTTTTGGACCTAAAATTAAATTTTCTGATGAAGTTTTGTAAAGTTTTTATGTTTAGGAATAGCTATAAACAATTTAGAAACACTTCCACTATTTATATAAAAAATATAGGCTTGGGCGGAAAAAAGTTCGGTTTCCCCCCGCCTAAAATTTTACCCCCCGCTTATCCGAATTGTACCTAATCCCCTACCTTACTGCTTTATGCATTTGTTATCATGTAGTTGATGGCGGCGTCCTCCATCACCACCACGACGACCATCATCACACCCAGCCCCAATCCGGCAAGCCCCAACGGCACGCAAAACAACGGGGCCACCCAGCCTGGAAATACGAGAAGATTGTATAGGCATGGATCTATATTAATTACCAGGCAATCCGGTCTTCTTCTTCGGCTGCGGGATACCGCCCATCATCGTCGGTTCGCCCATCAACGAGGTCTGGGCTTTTGCCTTCTTCTTCGACGGCGGATCCTCGGCCACCGTGGTCGCCGTCGTCTGAACGGGAAAAGATTCTTTCGCATCATGGGAGGCGAATTTTTTTAAGGTGATTAAAAAATACAAAAAATGTGGATTTTTCGACCAAACTGTCCGTTTTTGAAAAACATTTCGACTTTTTGAAAAAATGTACAGGTTTTTAATAACAAAATATAGTTTTATTTTACAAATACAAACAAAAAACACAAGCACAAACCTTGTCACCTTCACCGCCACCTCCTCCCTCAGGCGCAGCACCGGCTTGGCTAGGCGCGGCGGGGGCGTCAGCAGCAGGGGCAGGAGCCGCAGCAGGAGGCGGGGGAGGAGGAGCCGCAGCGGCTGCTGCTGGTGGGGGCGGTGGGGCATTCGCGTCTCCACCCGGTGCCGGCCCTAGGTCTTCATACATTTCGCGTCGTCACTGAATACTTGATGATTTGCGTTGAAAATTGCTAGTTACCTGATAGTCCTTTGTAACACCGGGTAATAGAGAAGAATTAAGAAAACATGAAAATGGTAGCGGAGCTCGGGCTTTTATACCGGGAAATGATGTTTTGTCGGTATGCAAAAGTTAAAAAATTCTAGGCGCTTATGGAAAGGTTACTTCCAGCCTTTTTGGCCAGAACCCCGGAAACTGGTGGTACTGGACTTTTAGCGGGGGGACTAATTTTTGTTTTGCCACCGATTCCTAACTGTTGACCTTATACAAGGTGGATTGACAGCTGGTTTAGTCGATTAATAATCTTTAACACTCCTTGGATAGCGCATTCTGAGATATTTATTTTGATACTTTTGACTTGCCTCTAACTCTTCAAAAGTGCCATCATTTTCGTCTTCTAAGTTTGCTACTTTTTCAAAAAACTTTTGATGAGTAGGGGGTCGACAAAAATCGCAAAAAACTCAACTTGATTTCTATTTACTATCCAGACCGAGAACGGCATTTTCAGCTATTAATGTACCATGGATCTATTTCCCCTCACTACAATTCATCCTTTAAGAAAAACGCGCACGAAAGGGGCCGGGGGAGCTAGACTACGCCGCGCTCCAAAACCCTCGCGTAACTGGATAGAAAGCAAAGGGGCAAAAAAATTTTTGCTTTCATCACGCTGTAACTTTTTTCAACGCGACTTTCATAATCTACTTAAACGCTGGAAAAATAGAAGAGAATTTTCTTTATCTTATGAAAGCGGTTTCGCGAAAATTGAGCGTGGCAAACGGGACTTCTGATTTTTTGAAGTTCGAAAAATGAGGTGTCAGTTATCGAGTGGGCTTGTATCCAGCTAAATACTAGCCCAAATACCTGAATTGCATTTTTTTGTAGACTCTCGGTTATAAACCACCCAGATAAAATCTAAACTTGAGGTTTTTGAGATTGACTTGACGGTTTCAATCGAAGTTTTCAGAAGTTTTCAACTGGCCAGAACTTTTTTCGACGACGGTTTTCGAATATAATTACGGCCTAGGGACATAGAACAGACTTCGCTCTATCTTTCGCACATATTTTTAGAAGATCCTAGCGTAGAAATTTAGCGAGCGGGACATGGAAGAGGGCAAATGAGCTTGCGATGTTTATTGGCCTATTCGGCCTGGACGGAAGGTGCTGGCTGGTTTTTTTTTGGTTTTATGGCGTTACGGCAACCTATTATGAACGGTTGGAGCAAAAAGCAAAAAGAAAATGCAGACGGCTGTGGCCCCGGGAACCGAACCCGCATCCCCTGTCTGGGGGCTGGACCGCCGCCTTAGACCACTACACCACGCCCCGACCACCCCTCTCGTGCGCGCTCTGAAAGGCCGTGT